TCATAAAGGACACCTGAGGTGAACAGTAAATTATAGGTTGAGTAAATTCACAGCGCAAGTACTCAGTAAATCCCACGTTTAACACATCTATGGCCTCGGTGCTTATCAGAAAATTCTAATTCAAACACAACCACGGCGTTTTGCTGATCAGTTAATCCTAGATTTAGCACACAGGATTAACACATTTACGGCGCCTTTAGAGATCAGTTAATCCTAGATTTAGCACACAGGATTAACACATTCACGGCGCCTTTGGAGATCATAAATGCATAGGTTAAACTATTCACGGAATCTTTGGTGATTATTAAATCATAGGCTTAACACACTCACGGCGCCTGTGATGATAATTAATCCAAAGGTTTAACAAATTCATTGCGACTTTGGTGATTATTAGTTCATATGTTTAAACGCATTCACGGCGCCTGTGATGATCAGTAAACCTTAGGTTTAACACATTCACGGCTCCTGTGGTGATAACTAAATACTGCGTTTAACACATTCAATGATCCTGTTGTGATATGTAAATCCTAGATTTATCACATTCACGGCACCTTTGCTGATCATTTTGTCCTAGTTTTAGCACATTCATGGCGCCTAATGTGACCATTAATTCAGATATTTAACACATTCTCGGCGCCTGCGGTGATCAATATTGGCGAAAGTTCTGTGACGGGGTTTGAGTTAAGGTAAAAAAGTTTTGAAGAATTTTTACAGTTTACTTATGGAAAGTATATACTATCCATCTATATAAAGATAATATGAGATAATAGATCATCATCTTTGGTTATGTTGACTTCAAATGTATATCCTCGCATTATCCCAAACTAATATCAAACAACCGAAGTCCCCACGAACATATCTGTGCTCTCAAACATCCCAGCTGAAAATCCCCGTGACAAAGCTTTTCACCATCTTTATCAAACACACAAAAGTGGTTAATCAAAACTGATTATACGAAATCTGTCCAAATTGAGTCCTTATCACCTGAACTGTTTCCCTCACTCTGTCAGCTTTTATTAGACACATGCTTATGGGAACACTGGACGATGGTTTGCTAGGCCCAATTTGTTTACAGATATAACAATATGATGAGCAATTTTAGACTCATTAATTTTCAATTCTGTACATTCTTCACTCTCCCGATAATTTTCGGACAAATATGATTACTTCGCTGAGCTAAACAATGTGATGTTATTTATAACGTTTTTAGTAATGTTAAAGAGTTCAAAATAGAGTTTCTATCGCATGCATCTATCATTTGTTTAATCCTTTTCTGTAAATTAATGATTTGATTTTGTCCTACAAGAAATCATCTGCTTTCTAAAAGGAACTTTCTATCACATACATTTATCATTTATTTATTTTGTATAACTTAATTATTTTAATTCCCTACGTTGATCCCTATATTGATAAACTTACCGATCTTTTGCACTTTTACACTTTTCCAGCTTTCTCTGGATTTTTCTTCATCAGTAATCTCATTTCTTGATAGTGTTTGAAAGAAATGAGATTACTGTCTGATGACAATCCAGTATCCTTGGCCTCAGTATTGATACAACTTGATGTTCGCTATATTTTGTGCAGACTACTCAAATGTCGAACTTCAAATTCGTAGTAGTAGTTCTTCATTTATTTATAGTTTATCCTACTTCCTTCATCAAAAGTGTTCCCTTATTTTCATGTATATGTTAACGTTTTGTTTCACTTTTGGCTCAATGCACAGATCAGATTAAGCTTCTCTTGGATATATTAATGATTGCTTTTAACATATTCCATTCCACAGCTACAATATCAAACATTCAATCATTGATGTAAAGGTGACCCTCTTTTTCGTTTTCATTTTTTATGAATTTCTAGTCATATCATTTGGTGCATATATGTTGTAAATCATATATGTAACCCTGGTAAAATTTTTGCCGCAATATACCGCTTTGCTAGAAAGAACTTCTCTTTTGAACGATCGGTTGGGCAGACTAATACGCCAAACGTCCCTGGTTTAAAACCTAGAGGCGGCATCGAAATACACAATGACATATTTTACATTGACGCCCATGTAGAGTCTCGGGAATTATGCATAACGTTAATTTCATAATTACAGCTGTAACTCCTTGAAACTCGAGGACGAGTTATTTCTTTCGTAAAAAAAAATCATAAGGATTATATCCAGTGTTTGCGAGGTTGGCAGTCCCTTTGCATGAACTCTTTATGAACCTGACTTCATCTTGGATCAGAGACACGTGAATGCCTGTGATGACTTGTGATCGGTGGCGAAAGCGCGGGGAAATCTGGTACTACGTCTGGGCCGACGCCCACTGTCCTCCATGTTGTAGCTCTGCAGAAAGCTCATGACCTGCCAGACTATTATGCGGAGAGCGTCGTGCGAGCAGAGGTGGGTAGGTTTATTGCCCATTGGAGATTTACATTGGAGGAATATGAACGACGATAACCACTCCTGTCTTCCATCCTACGATGGTGAGGTCAAGAAATACAATCGTACCATTATGCAGCCAGTCTCATGTTAAGTCCGAGGGAAACATTCAGATAGGGGCCGGCATCTACAACAATTTGTTGGGCCATAAAAATCACGCAACAGTCAGGCTTCAACAGTAACAGAATTGTGCTGAAACGGGAGGTTTTCCCAACCTTGACATTTATCTTGCGCATATCCGGGTGGACACCCTTAGTGAACATGCACAGGATTTAGAAAAGACTTTGTAGGAAGCACACAAGATTGCCTTTAAAAACCTCGGTGGCACACAAAGCAGAGAAGAGAGTGATCTCATGGTTCACAAAGAGGTTTATCAGGTTGAAGATATAGTATTTGTAGTTGTTTCATCCGTTAAAGTCAGGGTCGCAAGAAAGGTGAAGGCCCCTGGAATGACCCTTCTGTAATGGAAATTGAAGTATAAGAGTTATGTCCCTTGAATATGACTTGTAGCTAATTACATATTGGTTAATTTGTTCATCTAATGATTTTTGTCGATTAATACAAATGTTTGTAATTCTGTAGTAAGGTATGGAAAGGTATTCTGCACTATGTTAATATTTTAGTATGCATCATTTATGGTAAATTATTAGGTGAAAGGCAAGTGCGTTACCACTGCGCCACCCGACCACCCAAATCAAACTGTTCTAACTTAAGACTTATTTGCAAAACACCATTACATTTATTTGATACATGTGCAGTATATTACATTATGCATGTGAAGTTTGGGGTTATTCAAAGTGTATTTGGTATAGAAAAAGTTGTTTTGTAAGAAGATTTTAAAAGTTAAGAGGTCGAGTTGTAATGCAAGGTCGATACCCTACAGAATACATAAGAAAGTATAGAATGATCTCATACTGGTTAAAACTAATGTATTCGAAAAATTGTACTTTGAAGATATTGTCGCATGCTAACAAGTAGAGCATCGGTAAATTACTAACACATGTATCTATAGAATCTTGATATACATCATCGTGGATTAAAACTGACTATTTTAAAGAATCTAAGTTAAGTCTAACAGAGTTCGTAAATTGATGCTGATACTACGCGTTCCATTTAAACACAAGTCTATCATCAAGTTCATCATCATCGATTCAAATTCCTTACCGAGGGCATTACTGTGTATTTCAAAGTGCAAAGGAGCATGATCAGATAATCCAACAAATTTACAAACCATGAACGTGTTTACCATATCAAACAGGCTAAATGGCAATAATACATAATCAACAACACTTATACCATTTGCACCATAAAGTGTAAAATCACCAGTGAGATTGTCTTAATCTCTACCATTCAGTAGTATTAAAATCGTTACCTCCTAGATCGAGGTTTTTTTCTAACTGACAGAAGCCTTTCTTTATCAGTATCACTTACATAATTAACAAATAGATACAACGTGCGATTGTATTCCTACATGTAAATAATCACATGAAATACCAAATGACTCAGATAAGGTGTTCATCAATCAGGCTGAGCTAAACGTGTCACTATTACAAAACCATCCAAGGCAGCGACCCCCAACGCCAGAGGAGGGCCCCCAGACACCTGCCAGATTATGACTTTTCACTCATTGATTTGGGATGGTCTAGTGAACCGTACATGAAAAAGATCTTCCGTTATAAGACGGGGAAATGTTTGATGTATCGAGATTGCATAGCAGAGGTTGGTTCTCACTATATGTGGTGCAGGCTGTAGACACTGTTGATGGACTTTACGTCCCCGAGGTTTGCTGTAACCTCACGTCACGTTCAAATTCATTCAAAGATCATTATTATCATTACATTTTTAACAGATTGTCAACACATAAAAGGTCACCAGGGCCATCAACCGGTAAACACACACAGCGATCCAAAAGGAAACAACATTAAACAAACAAAAGATAAAAGAAAAATGTTAAAAATATTAATGGGTATGTTAATACAAAAGATAAAAAATGGTACGTCATAGTTTATTGTATAGACCAACATCTTGTAGTACACCCATTTCCTGCTGATGAACACCGGGAAGAGTCGTTCCATTCCGGACTTGAAATACTGTGATGCCTCACGCTGACGCTGACAATAGTTTGTCACCGAGGCGATATGGATCCGTTTTGGCACCACGGTAACTTGACAAAATCGCAACAAAACGGCTGACCGTCAAAACTCTCTTTTATTCACGTGACTCAAGCGTGCGCTCCACGATCATTACACTATTTGGGGGGGGGGGGGGGGGGGGGGGGGGGGGGGGGGGGGGGGGCAAACCTTTTAACTATGTATCTGCACAGCACATAAATATTTATGGCTTATTTCATACATCAGTGATGTCATCACACATCTAATGGAAACAAATTCTTTATTGCTAAGTTGAAAATTCTGATTTCATGTAAAATTAATTACATATTTATTACATATTTCGCATTAAAATCTGAATGTTTCATTTTGTCATCAGATAGCACTCCAGTATGATTCTCAACAGGAAATAAATCCAGCACCAGCACAAGCCATGGAAAAAAACCTGTAATAACGATGTGGATATGGACACTGATGATTGTCAATTGCTCATAGATACTCTGGCACAGGTATGTACTATAATTTGTAATTTTCTTTCTACAGATCATGATTGAAAGGTGTTACATTAGTGTTATGAATCGACTGGGAAATTCACAATCGATAATTGGATGAGGCATTTCGATTGATAATCGGTTCACAAGTTTTCAAAAAATTGTATCAAGATAGACATGAGTATATAACTAATATCGAACAAAAAAACCCCATCATTTTCATAGTTTGATTTTTTTAGAATTCTGCCTCAACTGTCTTTTTTAAACTTCTGTCTGCGGTCTTATTCAGACACACCAGTCGGAAAATGTTCAGACAAAGACTTGTGCCACCCAGCTGTCCTACAGAAGACCACTGTCAAAGAGTGTCCGCATTCAAGTGAAACCGCATAGGAACGAAATAGGTACTGTGAAACATCATTCTTCATTTAATGTACTTTTAAAACAAAATGGTCATTTACAGTAGGAGACCTTTTTTGGTTAAGCTCTTATAACTTCACACATTAAAGATTTTCTATGGACAATTGAATAAAAAATTAGTCGCATATGGCCCATGGCCCCTGTAATCCTTCCCATTCCCTGCTTCATAGCTAGAGGAAACTGAAGATAAGATGGCAGGCAGGCAGCCATTTTGAATTTTAAAAGTAAAAGTTTGTTACTGCTATTTCTGAGAAAGTACTGAATGGATGTGTTGTACTATGTTATAAAAGCTGTAAAAATTAAAAACAAGTGAACAGAAAAGATCATCTTTGAAGATCTGATAAAACGTCATCAAATGGTGGGTGCCAAGATCTCTCTGGGATCTCTGATTATCACTTATAACCATACTTTTAAGAGGTTTTTTTCAATTTACTAGGATGCCAGACCATGCAGAAGAGGCCAATAATGAAAGATGCAGAGACCCAATGTAACATCATAAAAACACCAGTTTTGCAGCAGATAAAAAATAATACAACAGAACAAGATCTTGACATTTCATGGACTTCAACAAATCAACTAGATGACACTAGTGACTTGTCCTACTGCCCATCAGATCAGACTGAAGTGAACTCAGAATGTGATGAGAATATGTAAGTTTTTATGATAATTAAAAAAAAACCTTCTTGGTGTACTTGTAATGATATCAAATTTTGCTTACTCTATTTATCCTGCACTAAACTTCTGGTCACAGGATCTTGAAATTCGGCCTTTATTGGTTTATTGTGGGATGTTGATGTGTAGTGTACCAAAATAAGTCACTTTGACCTTTGTCCTGCATATTTAGCCTAGTTGGTTCACCTTGGTTAAATGGTTCAATTTTGTACCAAAATTATGATAGCAAGGCATGATTATCCATTATTGTTATTTGTCCACTTGTCTTGTTTTTGAAAGGACATTTTGTGTTACATCATTGACTAAACTCATTTAAAAGCTTGTTGATATACTTTTCTAAATTTGTAAGTAAAAGATTCTTTTTCATATTGTAGATCTTCATCAGAAGAGAGACTATTCCTAGTTGCTGAGAGTAGTCTCCTCCGTTTGTTTAGTACATGTGTCCGATGTTCTTCACCTGCTTTAGGGAACTGAGCCAAGTGTTTGGGACAAGGGTGAAAGTAGAGCAGACTTGTGGTACATGTGGCTATAATTGGGAATGGAAGAGTCAACACATGATTGGTTCAATCCCATATGGAAATCTTCGCTTGTCATGTGGTATCCTTTTTGCTGGATTTCCGCCATCCAAGGCTTTACGAGTGTTTGATTTCATGAATGTGCCTTCCATATCAAATGACACTTTTCTGAAACATCAGAAGCATTATCTACAGCCTGTCATTGTGGATGCATGGGAATCTAGCAGGAGGGAACATATACAGGAGGCTAAGGCAGATAGAAGGACTATATCTATCGGCGGAGATGGGCGATGCGACACTCCAGGTCATTCTGCTAAATTTGGCAGTTATTCAGTCATGGACTTGGATGATGGCAGAGTTCTTGATATCCACTTGGTTCAGGTATGAATGTAACAGCTTGATATTCGACGACTTTATAAAAAAAAAACGTAGTTTGCAAGTTACTGCATTGACAAATGCAATGATGAACTAAGAGTAAACGTACAGAATTTATTGTTATCAAATTTTAAATATTAATGACATTTTTTAAAGTGTAATGATTAATTACATGATTAATATTGATATGTACTGGAAGTGCAATTTTAATCAAGACATCAATTTTATTTTTAAAGAATTTGGTTTTTATTGCAGAGCAATGAAGTGAAATCAAGCTGTCACGTGGAAAAAGAGGGATTAGCACGAAGTGTGAAATTTTTGATGGACCATGGGTTAGAGGTCAACACCCTGGTGACAGACAGACATGTCCAAATAAGGAAGTGGGTTCGTGAGAACATGGCCGGTACAAAACATTGCATAGATGTCTGGCATGTTGCAAAAGGTATGCTGAAGACAAGCCAAATTTGTAGAATGGTTTTTAAATTTCTATATCTTATAGACAGAATCGGAATCCAAGCGGTCTTTTAAAAAAATTGTTGTTTTTACTCGGTATGTTTAGTTTGTCTGTGATCCATCTTTGTTAAGCCATATAAGTCATGTTAAATTATTTGATTTTTAGAATGATATACAAACGATAATATTATTAACATTATTAATTTGATATGCTGCCTTTCCATAACAACCAACTGATTTAAATGTTTGATCAGTTTATCCACTCATAAACAGCATTATTTACAACGAAGTTTAATTACACAGCCATAACATAATCTTGTTACACATACTTGTTTTATCCAGGCTTAAAAAAAGAAATTGCTCAGCATCTCGAAAGAGAAAGACTGTGAGGAGATCCATGATTGGATAAAAAGCATTTCCAACCATTTGTACTGGATGGCGGCCTCTACTCCAAATGCTGATCCTGAAACCATGTGGCAGAAGTGGGCTTCCTTGGAGAAGCACATCCAAAATATCCACGAAGGACACGGAACCAAGTTCCCTCATTGCCTCCATCCCAGTCTCAATGGACGGGAAAGAAGGAGGAAATGGTTAAAACCAGGTAGAATATCTTATGATATTGGAGAAGACTTTATGAATACCGGTTCAAAGATATTCCAATCATTTCAAAAATACCAACATTTCAACCGAATCATAATCTAATCTCAAAGTCAATTAAACCAGGGCAAAATATGAACAAAAGAAAGATTTACACTGAGACTCCTGAAAAAGTGCAAAGACAATAAGACCAGGTGTTCCGAAAGTTATTTTTGTTGGTATAATAGAGTGGATTTTACCATGCAACCTTTTTCAATTTTGATTTGTAACATTTCAAAATTTTATGCTTATTTTTTTTCCTCTTTAATCATTACCAGGGACAAAAAGCATGGTCCAGATAGAAAAAATTATCGACTCGAGGCAAATGAGACTGGACATCCCAATGTTGTCCACAAAATACCAGACATCAGAGGTTGAGGGATACCATTCGGTAATCAACCAATTTGCCCCCAAAATGCATAGGTTTTCCTTCAATGGAATGAAGTGCAGGTAACTACAATTTGTATTTATTTGTTACTAGGAAAATTCCACTACACAATTGTAAAAGAAAGAATGAAGTAAACTATAGATGGTTTAGGATAAAGAAAGACATGGCCATTTCTTTTTATTGAATTATAGAATTTTTCTATTTGTTTTATTTTGGACTTATGCTTATTTTATTTATTTTTTTTTTTTTATTTATTTGAAGGCTCATTTTAGCTGCACTCCATTTCAATGAAAACAGTGGCAGAGAGCAGGCTCAAACAAAACAAGGGGATCTGTGCTATAAGGTTACATTTCCCAAACACAAGAAAGGCGGTTATACCCTGAGGGAAGTCAAAACTGAATCAACATTTAGTAAGCTTAAAATTATTTATTCACAATGAACACAAGCATTTAACAACATATAGAAAATATAGGACATGTATGTCACTACAAATCAAGTAACATTTGTAAATTTACAGTTTATCATTCCATAACCAATCAGAATATAAGCTACAAATACATTGCATTTTCTGTTCACAGATTATGCCAAGGTCCTGATTGACAGTGTTATGTCGAGGACAGAAAATGTGAGCATATTAGTCATCTCGGGAACTTCAAGAAAATGCTCCCCCACCCCTGTGCAGTTCATTTGAAAGACCAGATAAACAGGATGCAGTATGGCTGTTTCAGTCCAGATTTCGTCAATTTGAATAATTGAACCCTGTGTACTTGTCATCTTCAGCAGGAAAAGTTCTCCTAATCAGTGAAACAGCACATGATGGATGAGGAACTCTCACATTTTTCCCTAAGAATCCCCAACACCAACGAGCCAGTTGTCTATAAGCTGTGTATCTGTATCGCCTGGAAAAATAATGTGTTATGTTTATTAATTTAAAAATACATTTATATAAATTGTGATATAAAAAGGCATTAGTAAGATAATAAACCTGATGGCCTTGACAATTTACATTCAACAGCATTAATTACAAACATTATCAAAAGCTTGCAAGTATATATTTGTATATTTGCCTGGTAATAAGCCCACCCATGTCATTTTCATATCCAATGTCCTATATAAACTATATCCCTGCATAAGCCCACCCAAACTATTTATCCAATGTTAAAAACTGAACCCTGTGCTTATTGCAGGTTAAATACGGTAGATGACCGTGAATACCAAACACTTACTTCAAACTTTCTGGTATATTCCTATTGTGGTACTGTCTGTAGCCTTCATATGCTGTTCTCAACACAAAGATGTCCAAACAAATTGTTTGAAATCCTGGATGGTCAGTGATACATCTTATACCATCTACTTCATCACGGACATGCTTTACCTGAGATATCTCCTCGCAACACACACATTCTGATGTAGTTGGCATTAGTTGGCATCTGTTGCATTGGCACCTGAATAATATGAAGACTGGATTGTTACAGTTGTTTCCTATTAAAAAGCATTAAATTGTCACACTTGTTATTTATTGATGTTTTTAGTTATGAACATGTAAGATCTCCAACATGAGATAAATAAGGTATAGACTTACAGATGGCCTAATTATACATTAGGGGACCAATTCCAAGCATGAAATAAATTGAATGGACAAAAGATTTTCTTGGCGACCTCCAACTGTATAAAGGTCACGATCGTGGAAAAGTTATTGAAGTTTACAATTAAAGTTTGTGTTTGATTTCAATATTAAATATTGCACACATGTTTTATGTATTCTTAAAAAAAATGATATGAATGAATTTTAAGTTTGATTGTTGATTAAATAAAAGTATATTTGTTAGTTTGATATTTTGTTATTAATTCTACAACTTAACACAAAATTGACAGGCTAGCCTGTGGCTTTGGCGGTCATTGGAATATTACTCCTTCGTAATCGTGAACGCCTAATACACGGAGTAGGCCTAGTCGTGAATATTTGCATAGTCTTGCACAAACGCGATCTCCCGACATCAGAAACTGTTGATCGAGAGTTAAAGATAGTAAAATTAGTCCAAAAGCACACCCAATTTTATTTTGTTTCTTTGAAACGATGATTCACTGTTAGATGCATACATTCACGACTACTGGTAAGGCCTAGTAAAGTACGTACCAATCTATGTTGGCCAAGCGATCGTCACTTTCCGAAGGGTTATTTTCCTCCTCACTGGATACATCCTCTTGTAATTCCGGTTCAAATCGGTAGGGCTGGATTCCGTCTTCAGAAATATAATCCACACCATAATCAGACTCCTCAAAACTCATGTTTAAATCGCTATCAGATGCGGTGTCGTTGTCACTGTCGATCATGTTGGCTGCCATTTCTGTTGAACTTATGACGTCACGAGTAGAAGAACCTCGATTCCACAGAAATGACGATTCGGCTGATTAGGTCTTGGCGGACAGGTGAAAATCGACAACTTTGAGCTTTAATTACTCGACACTGGGGCGACGGATTTTGACGGGGTTTTCGTTATTATTTTTACGGCATTCTTAACATTATATCTAAATATAAAATTACTCTCAGGGTACACTTTAAGATACGGACCTAACCATTGAGGTTGCAATATCGGACTCTTTCCTACGGTCGGCAATCATTGAGAAGATAAACAACATCTCCAGGGGAATAAGCTATTTCGTTCTTTCGCAGATCGTGATTTTCCTTTTGCAAACGCGCCGCGTCGTTAAGAGCTCTATGTGCCGTTTGATGGCAAGCTTGCAAAGGGTTCTCAAGCTTCTGCACATAATCCTCAATCTCTGGTGGTTCCTCTTTAGGAACGTTTTGTGGTAGCCGGATTTCTCGGCCAAGATCAGTCGATTCGGCGTCAGTCCATTACTGATATGTTGAGTCGCTCTATATGTTTCTGTCAGCAGAGGTAGTTGCTCATCCCAGTTGGACTGGTTAGATTCCACAAAACACCTGGCCATTTGTAGTAGAGTTCTGGTAAACCGTTCTACTATGCCGTTCGAGGACGGGTGGTATGGGTTGTACGCGTTTTGGCCCATCCGAGCAACTGACCTAGCATTTGCATCAATCCACTTTCAAAGTTCCAACATTGGTCAGTGTGCAACTCCAGAGGGATGCCGAAACTAGAAATAAACTCCGAGACAAAGGCTTCAGCAACAGATTCAGCTGTTTGATCAGCCAGGTGATAAGCTTCTGTCAACTTGCTGAACTGATTGATGAGGACAAGGATATATAGAGATTACACAACGAGTGGTTGTTGGATACGGCGTTTATTTCGAGATCACAGGCGGTAGGCGAAGACCAACACATGTTGCTGACGTATGCAAATGTGATATCACTCGGAGTGAACAGGCTCCAATTAATATTCAAAAATATATATGATGATAAATAATTTATTTCTTTATTATTTTCACAATTTTAAAGTTTACATATAATAACACAATGACGATGAGTTGTCTTATGAACTTGAACTGTCCATGTAGTCGTAGAAAATCTCGGACTATATTAGACGCGCTTTTATACAGACACATATAGTGGTGTCATCTGGTTCTGGTAACTTCAAACTCAATCACTGTCACAATCTTAGTACAGCACCCTTGGTCTGGGACGTTTAAAGACGTTTGTGTTGTTAATGTTTATTGTGAACCACCGTGAATAGGACCTGCAAATACTGATGTAAGGGCACCGATGGGATTTGCAGACACAGTTGATTCAGGACTGGAGGTCTGACGATGACTTCGCTTGCACTAGATGTGCTTTTAGCTCTAGTGAAAGGCCTGTCATCAACATGATCCAAGCATGATGGTATCGTTCTTGAAATCGCCCGGTGCTGGATTGTGTTTTAAAGTTGAGTAACTGTTGATACCCTGGATATTCTTGTGCCCGGAAATCTGGAGGATGCAGAGAATTACATAATTAGGCAATGTTTTATAGGACCAATGGAGGTAGATATCTAGTTATTGTCTACTGTAAACATGACAATGATGCATTGCCCTGTATTATGAAAGCAGGAGATTTTTTTTATAAATTTATATTAGCGTTAAACTGTTTGGGATTTAATTTCTTTAAACAAAGATAAGTGTTCATTTACTCGTAACGATTATAAGCCCTAATGATCAAGTTGAGATATTTCAATGTGAAAATAGTTTGAACCTGCATAATCTGATTGGGGGTAATCTTTTGTCATTGAGTTTTTGTACAAGGTACTTCCTGGCACTATGGTTTGTCAGTATTTCCCCGTTATTGTTACTCCCAGACTTGTTCATCAGACCTGGTTATATAAAAAAACAGGCATAAATCTAAACTCTGAATATGAACTGAATAAATAACAAGCAATTTAAACTAGGCCTATATATGCACCATTCCGACATCAGAAATAATTAAAGAAATTTATTACTTTGGGCTGGAATTATGTTCAAAAGATTAATTTTGACTTCAATCGACTAAAATAATGAAACGGCTATAATGTTAGGCCCAGGTGTAAGCAAGTGCAACATTACAAATGCATTGTACTACAATGCATCATTGACGTAAACTAACGTAAAAGGGGCGGAGTATATGCATTTGTAAACATACAGGCTACCGCTGACAGCCGGTATCACGTCGAAACGATACCTGGCTTCTGTAACAGTCATTCCCGAATTAAACGCTATTTGGAAACGATCAAACCCAACATTATTATCTGCTTTTGAAATTGCCCGGATTACACCCTTTTCCCATCACATAGCCTTACTTTATCACCTACATTCACCTCAAGCCTATCCTTTTCAGCCATGCTGACAGCAGACGATATTAAACAAATCGCACGTGGAACAAATCACGCGAGTGAAAAAAGTAGTTCGGGTCAAAGTTCACCAATTATGTATCCAAAAGGCCATATACCACTAGTAGAATATCACTTATATTTATCCAACACCCGCCATATGTACACAATGGCCTGAGAGTGGAATAAATTAAAGTAGAATGGCAGGAACTTGTTTCCTCTGTTGGTCCTATTATATCCAACTGGATTCTGTCCAGTGGAGCCCCAGCGTAGTATATGTGCATTCCGGCTTTCTTTGGACGAGTGCTTTTCTTGCTGCTGGAACATGTATTACAACAAGCAACATATTTCTCGACATCATCCTTCATGGTTACCCAGTAAAAGCTTTCTTTTGCTCTGGCCAAGGTCCGCTTCATTCCAGGATGTCCCGCGAGAACAGAGTCATGACACAACTCTAATAAGTCTTTCTAAGCTCATCTGGAACAAGAAGGAGTTCTTGGTTGCTATAATTAACCAGCCAGCTGTTTCCTTCGTCATTCTGCGGTTTAGCAGATACAACGCGAACACTTCCTGTGTTATCTTTAGCCAGCGGAAGCACATCATCTGCATCTGCTTAAAACCTTGCTCGCTGTTCGTGTACCTTCGACCAGTATTTGCAGCCACCACATGGAAGCTTGTTTAGATCTGTCCCTGCTTTGTAACAGTCGCATGTTTCCGATTCTGATTGGCGAGACAAGTCGTCTGCGTTACAATGAAGGGATCCTGCACGGTGCTGGAGTACCAGGTTAAACTGGCTGAGATGTTCCATCCAGCATGCAAGCTGTCCTTGAACCGACACAGCCAGGTTAAGCACCCGTGGTCAGTGCACAGAATAAACTCACTGTCAAGGAGATCATTTTTAAATCTCTCGAAAAACGTGACAATTCCCAGAAGTTGAAGCTGAGACATCACCGCTCCTATGGCGAAGTTGGAAGCATCAGTATCCAATATGAAAGTCTCTTTTGGTAGAGGATATTTAAGGACTGGAGAATACAGGAGACACTTCTTTATTGTTTCAAAGGCTTCCAGGTAGGTTTGGTTACAAACAAACGCAGCATCCTTCTTGACGAGAGAATACAGGGGCTCTGCGATATCGGCATACCGGGAAATGAATCGTCGATAGTAGTTTGTTAATCCCAAGAACGTCTGTACATCCTTACAGCTTGAAGTCTTCCACTCTTGAATCGACGAGGTAAGGGCAGGATTCTCGTTCACAATATGTCCCAGAAATAGAACTCTGTCTTGGAGAGTGTGTCATTTTTGTGATTTTAATTTCAGGTTGGTTGACTGAAATCTGGATAGGACCTGTTACAGATGGCTCATATGCTCTTCAAATCCATGACTGGCGATGATGACGTCATCAAGATAAATCAAAACTATGTCCCACTGCAATCCTTTCAAGACAAATTCCATGGCTCGTTGAAATGTTCCTGGTGCTCCTGACATACCAAATGGCATACGGGTGTATTTAAAAAGCCCAGATCTGGTTATGAAGGCAGTTTTCTTCCGATCTGATTCATCTAACTCGATTTGATGGTACCCGCTCTGGAGATCAAGGGTTGAAAATATCGTCGCACCAACCAGAGTATCCAGACAATCTTCTACATTTGGTATAGGCCAGGAGTCTTTTTCTGTGATTTCGTTAATTTTCTTGTAATCTATACACCTCTTGAATCCGCCATCTTTCTTTCTAACCAGATCTACAGGTGAAGCATAATCCGATTTTGTCTCGACGACTCTTCCACTCCGCAACAATTTTTCTACATGTTCTTTCTCTTCATCCTTGAACGCAAGTGGTTCTTCTTAATGGTTCTTTGACCAACCTTGACGTGGTGGTGGGAGTCCTATGCTAAGTGTGTGTAAAACATCCGAACTCATCATCGTTGCGAGCAAACACATCCTGGAAGGTAGTCACTAAATTGACAAGTTTTTCGACCTGTTTAGTGTTGAGATTTGCAGTGGCCTCACTAAGCATACCTCGCATATGTGACGGACTTTCAGAAGCAATGTCTGATTTGTTGTTAGACGTCAATGTGTCCTGACTAGAACTTGTTTCCGCCACTGGTCCAGAACAAACAGATTCATCCATCTCGTCCAACTTGCCAAGTTGAGTCCCCTCCTTCACAGCGATACCGTGATCTGTAGGATTAAGAATTCATCACGGAATTTTATGGTTCATACCCACCAAGACCGAACCTGTCTGTGCTCCATTATCAAGTGATGTTGGATCAGGAAAACCTATCAGGTCTTCACTGGACTCATCAACTCTTGTCGCAATTACTGTTTCACTTCAGGGTGGAAGTTTTATGGTTGCATCAACGCAGACCCTGACATGGGGCATCTGGTTTGATTTGTCCCGGGACCAGTGTACCTCGGACAAGAATATGACCTGCCGTGCCATCACAGCAGCAGGTCCATTCCCAGCAGAACATCACTTCGGATTGGAGCAATACATATTGGCCAACTCACCACTGCTTTTCCAATTTCGATTTTTACTGGAATATCGCACGCCGCGTCCATCATTTTGGGCGTTTAGAAGAGTGGCCGTTTTAA